ATCAAAACATAAGGCAAACATTAATTTTCAAGGATTTCCACAGCACTTTGAGTTCATATACTTACGATCCTCCACATGACCTAAATTTACATGAAATGCACAAGCAGAAGTGAAAGAAAGAGAACACCATAAAAACATAGATCTGGTGGATTCTCAAAGTTTATAAAGTTCAAACTGATGTTAGCCACAGCAAAAATTTACCTAAAACCTTAAAATATGGTTATCCAGAATCTGAGTATATCAGGAAACAAGGAGTTTACCACTTTATACAATAAAACATAAATAGTTAAAACATATTTCTTGACTCACAAAAGCTAAATTATATATATATTGTTTCAAGTTCTTAAGATCAACATGGCAACTTATTAAGAAAAAAAGGCTACAGATAATCATAAATGTTATTCTCAGATAAACCTGGCTTTAGGTAGAGATTCAGTCAAACTAGCCATCATTTAGGTAAATACTTAAATTCTCCAAACATCAAAATTCTCATTTATAAAATATAAAAGACTTCTGTTTGCCTGTCAAGACTCTTTTGAGGATTAAATGGCATTTCTGAAGATTCAGATGGACAGTAGTTTTTACCACTGTCTCACAGGTTCATAATACTTTGTTCACTGTTGCTTATATACCCATCATTCAATCAATTTTTAGACTTTTTTTTTTCTTTCCTTATGTTGCCAGGGCTTTAGGCTTATTAAGCAAGTAGAAAGCACAAACTCTGGGCTATGTCCCTAATCCTCCTGGGTTTCTTTCTTTTCCTTCCTTCTTTCTTTTCTTCCTTCCCTGCCCCCCGCCCCTTTCCTTCCTTCCTATCTTCTCTTTTCTCTGTTTTTAAAATTTTGAGACAGGTTCTGGTTAAGTAGTCAGCCCAGGCTGGCCTCAAACTGCAATCCTCCTGCTTCAGCCTTCTGAGTACACCATCACACCCAGCTCCTACAAAGATTTTTTTTAAAAGATTCATAAGTAAGCACACCAACTTCTATAGATGTCTCTTCTTTGATCCTGTATTAATATTAATTAATATCATTTCTGAACTTTCTACATCTATTATATCATCAGTCTTAACTTGTTAAGCACTTATTTTGTAGATTATAACTATTTTAAAAAAAAAAAGTTCTACAAAAAAATCAACTGATATCAATCATATAATGCTGGACATTTAAGTTACCTCCATTTCCAAGTACCTGACTACGACAGTTTCTTTAAAAAAAAACAACAACAACAACAGCTAATTTGCAAAATAATTTGCATTTCATTGTTGTTCTTGCTTTAAAAGGTCCTGGTTGAAAAACAATATGACCATTTGACTCTCTCCTTTTGTGAACTGCCCATTAATACACTTTGCCTATTTTTACTGGGTTAAGATTTTTTAAAAGTACTAACTTACAAATCTTAGTATAAGGCCATAAACACTCTTAGAGGTTATAAATATTTTTCCCATTTCCTTTTAGTTTTACTAATGTTTGTTTCTTGCTATCATAGGTTTTAAATTTTTACATATTTAAATTTTCTGGACTTGTCTCCCCTTATGACTTAGAAACAGAAAAGAAAATACATTCATGATATTTTCTTATTGCCTTAGTGTGTAGTATATATATTGCATGTGGACATATACGTACACACATAAATATACATATGTAGTATCCCTTTTGACTCCTTCCCCCTCCCCTTTCCTTGATTCCCAGGTCTTCTTTCAAAAGCACTAGCTGATAACCTCTTATCACCTGAACTACTACATGTTTAACCCACTTCCACTCTCAATGGTTTCCTAGCAATCCTTCCTAGTATTGTAGCAACACCATCTTCAAAATGGAAATCTGAACAGATTTCTCTTCTGCTTCGAGAAAGATTTTAATTGGAGAATTCTGGGAAATAGTGATTATAATAGTGGCATTTCTTTAAACTCTTTTTTAAATTCCATTATTCATATGTATGTGTGCAGAAAAGCAGACCTGAGACTTCTTTAGCAAGTTCTGCTTTCAAGGTTGGTCCTTGGCTGGCATCTGGGAACTTGAATTTTGGAAGATTCCCATTATACCTGATAGGAGTGGTTCGCTATGCCTAAATTATTTGTGCAAAAGATGAGGTGTATGCATGAATAACTGCTTTCCTTCCAGGAGTCTGGAATTTTGGCATATATGAGTAGCCAGAGAGGCTGCATTAGAGGAAGGCTGCCAACTCAGAGGAACTCTGCCCTAAGGTACTGTCTGTTCTTTGGACCCACTCATCTACTCACAATGCATTTATTTTCTCATTAAGTTCCTATAGTCCCCACTTCTCTCATTTAAAGAAGGGTATATAAGCTTCTAAATAACCAGCTTCCAATAAAAACTTACTTGCAAACTTTTCCTGGTAGATAACATTTCATACAATGTCACAATTTTATGCTGGAAAAATTAAGCACATTATCTCTGTTGATGCTTAGAAAATGTTGGGGCTTGACACGCTCAGCACTTTGAACTAGAGAATCAGCCTCTGGATTCTCTGACCTCCCAACACCTACTCCAAACCCCTCCCACAAATCACTGGATCCTCTTTCTGGAATTACAGGGAATGGCTTTCTCTAAGTTCCCTTGCCTAAGGAGTTCATCCAGAAGGAATAAAATCATCTTGGAAATCTCATTAATCAGGGAAAATTATTCACAGAAGAAACTAAAGGTCATCACTATATATACTGGACAGACTTCCCATCCCTTCTGCGGATGTCATCTGAGAGACTGCCTTTGTTCACAGCACAATTTTCAACTTTCCATAACTC